CGTAAAGACGGATCGGATGGAGCCAAGGAGGGCGTGCGGGTGGACGATTCGGCCGAGGAATTGTTGGCCAAGATCGCAGCTCTACCTGGTGAGATGCACGCGTGGGACGAGCGCTGGCCAGCTTCGTTTTCGGGTTGAAGCACAAATCTGATGTATTCCGCCTTGTTTGCCCTTTTCCCTCAGACATCGTCGAGCAGGCTATGCAGCAGTACGAGACCGCGAGGGTTTTGACTGCCATCTCAGACGTGATGGGAGAGGTGAGCCTCCTTGGCTCATCGCCAGCGCAACAGCGAAGCGTGTTCAAAGAGGACGTCAGGTTGTTCCTCGTGGGTCACACTGCTGACCCTTTCTTTCTCACTTTTTCCTCCGCCACCTCAGGCTAATGCGTTCATAGCGAACTCGGCACCGTGGTCCAAGACCCTCATGCCAGCCGAGCGTCGAATGATGCTTTACGCTCTGCACGAGACTATACGTGTCGTCAGCGCGCTACTCAAACCTTTTATGCCGGGCAAGATGAGCCAGCTCCAACGTATGTTCGCCTTCGAAGAAGCGACGTTGTCGTGGGAAGCTCTCCGAAGACCGGCAGAGCGCATCGAGATCGTGTTTCGACGTCCTGCGCTGGATGCGAAGGGCAAAGCCGTGAAGGGAGGAGAAAGAGAAGACGTGCTTTTTGCGACGCATCAAACCTCTGCGGATCAGGCCGGAACGGCCGCAACAGAAAAATCTGCAAAGGAGGCCGCGAAGAGCACAAAGGGGCAGAAAAAGAAGACGCGTAATGATAGCAAGAAACACGCTTGAGCTACCTACCTTCGCGGTCAAAATCGTTTACTGTATTTGTATAGCTGGGAAGGGAACAGGTAGACAAATCATCAAATCGATATCGAGATCCTTCAGCTACATTTCTTTGCTCGTGGATCGAGACACTAGCTATTGCTCCTGCCTCCGGTATGACCTTGGATACGAAGCCTACCCTGAACCATCGTTGAGTCGTCAACGCTAATCTGTCGGGACGCTTTCCAGAAAAGACGCGTTCGAGTCGAGACGCCAACGATTGACTTGCATCACCTCTCACACCTTTCAACATTCTACACACATCACGCTCGCTCTGTACCCTTCGCATCTCCCAAATGGATTTCCCTTTTGAGTATCTCTCATGGATTTCTTGGTGGCACCGGATCTTTGCCCAGGCTACTTGGTCATCCTGACGACCCTCTTTTTCTGTTTCCTGTTCAAATTAGCCATAGGATCCTTCTTTTGATGTTTGGTCCCTTCCTGATTAGTGCTATTGCTAGGTGGATCCTCATCATCACTGTCACCTGCACCGAGACCCATAGATCCCATAATGCTCCCCAGTCCGCCCATTCCTCCGCCTGCTCCATCACCACCACCACCTCCAAACATCGATCCCATGTCGGCATTGAGCATGCCTACCTCTAGTGCTGGAGAGTTTGCAGGATACCTCGAGGTGAGAGGCGGATAGGTCAATTTGGAACGTCTCAAAGATACGGGAGAGATGACGTGCTGCGCTTTCGAAGACGAAGAAATGGGCGAGGGTTTGATGGCACCTTTGCTCGACTTGGATGCTCCGCCGCTGGCAATCGATGCGCCTTTGCTCTCCAGCGCCGCAGCTGCCCTTCGAGCAGATTTTGATTGCTGCTTGGGCAAG